TCATTATTGAGAATATTGAGTAGTTAGACACAAATTTAACTCGAGTTCAAATGGGTTGATCAAGACCTAAAAAAAAATTTTTGATTTTGCTCTAGCAAGGCTAGGATTTATGAAACTCGGTCAATTTTAAATCAAATTTTCACAGTTTCAAGCCAAACCTATTATTGTGATAAAATATTTACAGAGAGAAAGAGAGAGAGAGAGAGAGAGAGAGAGTGTGTGTGTGTGTTGATTAGACTGATTCGTTAACAAATTTCAAAATTTGAACATAAATTTTAGCTCTACATGTGACTCGTTATCAAGTTTTTTTTTTTATGGAAATTTATTAATAGGTTACTTCGATAGGCTAACTTTCTAATTTAGGGAAAATTATATATTATGTGTATAATTTACTCTTATTATAACTTGGTGAAGGACTGCATGCTAATTAGCAATCATTGGTTATAACTTTTTTTTTCTACTTTTGCTCCTTCTTAATCATTGAAGGAGGCTTTCCACCAATGCTTTTTAGTTTAATAATAAAAAAATGTTGGTAAATTTTGAATTATTTGTTGAAAAATATGAAATTAGTAAAAACTGTTATAATAGCAAATTAGAGGTTAAAACCTTGCTAGCATTACTAATATTAAATATACTATATATTAACTTATTATTATTAATTATATTCTTTGCTCCATAGCACTACTAATAAATATAATATTACAATATGAATGGATAATCACTTCCTTAATCAGGTGTTTGCAAAGGAGCTTTTTGATGTTCTTAAAGAGAAACATGGGTCGGACTTTGATTCCTTTATATCCACGACGGTTTATTCAGTTGCAGGAGATATTATTTATGAAAATTTAGGGATTTTTGAGGGATTGTATCTTAGAGAAACTGGGTATGGGAGGAGATTGACATTTTGGTGTCTGATGTGGGCTGCAAGCCACTACCAGACTTTTATGAGGGATAATTAAATAAAATTATATAATTTAAATATCATGGAAGGACGTAGTTTTGAGGTTAATTAATTATACATTACATTACAGCTTCTTTTTATTAAATTTTATTTTATTTTGTACTCGTGTTGTGCCTTTTCATC